CCAAAACCACTCGCAGTTACTATCCGTTCTTCATAAATCCTTCAATCATGGCCGTAATCATGGAATGTTAGTCCGATGTTTTTCTTTATTTGCTTCACTGAAATCTGATAAATCAACCAGCTTGGATCGTTGTCTTCAAGCCAGAAACCACTAAGGAGGATATCGATAGATTTTTGGAATATGTCGTATCTGAAGGTAAACGTTCGCATCACTTCTGCGCTACAGAACCTTTATTCACTTATTGTATCCACAGGGGGAGAGATTAAATTCATCTATGAGTCTCTAAACAGCTTCGCCGCCAAACTTCCCAATGAATTCGTCACCTCCTTACAATCCGACATGCCCCCCATCATTGCATACATTGGTATTTTCATTTACTCCCCGCTGATAGCTCGGTTACTTATACACGATTGACAGAACCTGATCAAGAGATGCATGCATACGGTCAAAATGAATATTTGTGATCGCCACCAATTGCGTTGCGCCGAATCGCATTTTGCAGTTTGACGAGCCACGAGATTCTGAAACGGGTCATGATTTTCCATTTCTGCGTATCTGTGTTATACAATGCTTTCAACTATCGTTACTGCCGCTCGTAAAGTCGTTAATCCACGTTTCAATACAACTCTCATAGTATGCCTTCGCATCTTCTAGGAATTTAACGGTCCTTCGTATGTCCTGTTGCCAAGATGCACGGACGTCCTCCATAGACTTTGGATTACTTCGAACCACTAGAATGGGTTTTGATGGGTTGTCAAACTCCATAGGGTCGAGTACGTGTTCTTCTGTAAGAAACGCGTTGTTGCTCAGGGTTCCTCTTGCCCGGTCTATGCGATATGACTGAGTAGGTTGCTTCTGCGTCTTTTCTGATATTAATGGCGCGACGTTTATTCTTGTTTTGAGTTGACGGGTACTCCTTCGCCGCACAGGTCTCAAGCTTCTACCTCGGTTAAGAAGCGCTTCCTCATCACATTCCTCCATCGGCATCTCTTGCGTTTTCGATATCAAATTCCATTCAGATCCCGAATCCGAAGATGCAAGTAGCATCTCCACAGCTGGAATATACTGCTCCGTGAGATCATCCACAGGTGTAAACGGACGGAATGTCAAGGATCGAGAGCCGGATGAGGAACAAGACATCCCCGCCGAAGATAGATCTCCAGCACTGGAATCGTAGCTGGGATACATGCTGCATGCCAGTGTCCATCTCGAAACTTCGGCGTGCTTGTGAGGTGGTAGAGCGCTCTTTTGATTCCGTTTTTTTATGGAACGGCTTCTTGTTATAACTCGGCCAGAAGAAATGGCTGAATCCTTTCTCGCCTTTTTGATGGAACGGCGTGGTTTGACGCTAGGTTGAGAGGTGGAATTCTGGGTTTGGGTTTTAGATGGAATCGACTGAGATTGTGCAGTTGAGCGAGGATGTTTGAATATCTCGGCTCTTCCTTGAGGAGGTTTCTTCTTGATAGATCGCGAACGCCTGGGTCCTTGAGTCGCCCAAATAACTCCAGGAATCCGAGAAGGAGTTGAGGGTGCGATCGCTGGAGGTCTCAATGGCTGCTTGCGGACCGAAGAATTGATTGTTTGCCCACTGTTTGCAGATACTCTCGGAGGGGAAGATCGTTGCATAGATGCTGTGACAGCGGGAGATTTGACTTTGGGAGGGTTGGATTTTGCTCGGTTCGGTGGTGATCCATGACGTATAACTCGACTTGAACGTTGGAGTGAAGTAGAAGGAGCATTGTTCTGCTAATCAAAGTAAGCGTTAATATTTATTCGATAGACATAGTCAGAGTTAACTTACGGGTATAATCTCAGACTTTGATTTCTCCTCGCGTCGTTGTGTCATTACTGGGAGACCTGTCCCAAAACGAGAAACTGGTAATCGAGTAGCAGCACAGTCCATTATTATTTGGCTTTACTGGCGAAGGGAAACAATCAAGAGGCATTCGTCCATCCCACATTTGTAGCCTTTTTATTACCCAGACTGACACTTCGTTCCAAACGAAAGGTCCGAGAATTTTCAGCCTTCTGGATCGATTTCAAACTGAGCCAGGGGTCAAGGGCGGTTCAGACCATTTGGACTAGGCATTTACAATATCAATCATGTCCGAGCGCTGGGAGAAGCATGGATCCCAAGTAGGGGTTTGCGTCGAAAAGAAGAACCAATAGTTGAGCGAAATGTATGTTGATTATTACATTCCCTAAATGAACGAAAATAGTATGCGTATGTCAGTCTAATACTTGGCTAATACTAGAATGATTGGATTACTCATTTCACTGAGTGGTATTAACCGGTAGACTGGGCGCACCATTAGATTTGTCAATTAGGTGCCCATGTTTGAAACAAGTTTAACGCCAGTAAAGTCTTGAGTAGCAAGGTAGTTGCAGAGAGATGAAACAAAACTGTAAGGTCGCTTCAAAAACAAGTTTCATAATCGGTACGATACCGCTTAGGAAAAGACAGTTTCACAATGTTGACACACGACGCGTATGGCATTTATCTTAGTCATCTATTTTACGTCATCCAAGCACCCCATTTTCAGGACAGGCACAAGAAGCTCGGCCATGCGACCCTCCAAGACAACCAACCCTTGGTCTTGGCACTTGGCCTTTAGACTTTTTTCACGGCACGAAGAGAAAGGTGCGCTGTGCATCATGCACTCAAGAAACACAAAACATTTTTTATCATGATATAGGATGATCTTTTCATTGAGAAGAAACGTCCATCAAAAGCTCGACCTATACAAAAAAAAGAAGTGTGCAGAAAAAAGGAGAATCATGTGTGCCATGATCATCAACCAAAAAAAAAAATAATTAAGTAAGGGTATCCGGGAAAGAGAAGAGAAACACAAAGGCCAAAGTTGAGGAACGGGGATGGTGCGTATGGATGGGGTTAAGTAGGACGGTTTCCAAGGTAAAGTTCTAGTGTCCACTGCAGACTCTCAAGTTGAAGTATTTACCCAATCCAGCCTCGTAAGCATTGATACCCTGAATCCATCCGTTTGTCCATTGGTGGAGGCTAAGTGGAAGGAATGGAAACGTCAAATCTTGGCACTCAAGAAACCGTGAAAGTGACGTACTAGTCCAAGTTGTTCTGGCAGAGACAGCATGGTCCGCCTGCAGCAGCCCTAGCCTTGCCCTCAGTGATACCTTCGAACCAGCCATTATAACTACCCAATGCTTCGAGAACGTTTCCACCAGAACTATCAAGTTGCCCTTTGAAGTATTCCGCAGCAGTCTATAATTAAATGCCGCAGCATTGAGTGAGACCCGAATTCCCAAGGGTAATGATAAAAATAACGTACTCTCATGTTGTAGTCAACGTCGAAACAATCAACACCTTGTTTACACTTGTCTGGACTGAGCTGGAACATTCCGACTTCACCTCCTCCACCTTTGGTTCCGGGGTTGCAGGATGACTCTTGCATGGCAAAGGCAGCCAAAAAGATGGATGGGACTAGATGAAGCATGTGGTTGAATGGTTTATCCACATGGTTGTAGAATGATTTACTTACAGCCGTTGGCTTTAGCATACTGTTCGAACTTGTCAAAGTACTTGGTGCATGGTGCAAAGGTCTTCCTGACGTTAGGATTGTCCAATGACTTGTAGATGAGGTTCTTGACAGTGATCTTTGGAGGAGTCCAACCACCGCTGTGGATGCCGCAGTTGAG